CTTCCTTTTAAATTTTACACTGTTTTATAAATATATATATATTTCCAGTTTATTCATTATAATATAAAGATAGAAATACAAACTGAGAAAGCAAAACATACACATCAGATACAAAAAGAGAGACTTTAAAGTTTACATGACTTAAAAACTTTGGATTTGTTAAGTTTCTCTGTTTAAAATGTACGAGGCTGACATGTTACAGTGTGAAGCAATATGAGATGGCATAGTTATGAACTGGTGATCTATAAATAAAAATGTTCGTATAATTGTATGGTGAACATACATGCGATCAAATTAAAATAAACTATGTATTTTCTTACTTTTTTTGTCTGTTAGGAGGAAGAAAATAATGAAAAAACACATGAAAAAGTGCACAAAATGACACAAACAAGACACAAAATAAGAAAAAACAACAAACAAAACACAAGAGGATAATAATTTCACAGAAAATGAGGCAACACGGCACAAACAAGACACATATTGACATAAATGAGACACAAAATGACCCAAAAAAATCAGAAAAAACAGCACAATCGAGACAATAATGATGCAAAATAACACAAATGAGATGCAAAATGAGAAAAGATGAAAAAAATAAATCAACACGATTAAGATGCAGCAACACACGTGACCCACAAAATGAGACAAAATGACAAAACAATTTAGCATAATTAAGTCAAAAATGATGCAAATGTGACACAATTTTAAAAAGAAAAGAAAAAAGAAAAGACAAAACAACACAAACAAGATGCAAATGACAAAAAATAATTTAAAAAAAAACACAATCAAGACAAAATGATGAAACCATGACACAAAATGATCAAAAATCAAAACTTAGAAATGAGATGCTAAATGACAAAAAAATGAGACAAAACAGCACAATCAAGACAAAAATAAGCAACCATGACACAAAATGATCCAAAGTTCGACAAATCAACACAAATGAGACACAAAATGACAGAAATTAGACAAAAACAAGTGTAATACAAAAGAAAAGAGACATAAAACGACACAAAGAAGACAGAAAGCAACACAATCATACACACTGAATTCAACTGAACTGAACTGAACTGGAAAAACTCTTAATTTATAATTAGAAGCTGAACGTATTTGCTGTCAGATTGAAGTAAATAATGGATGTTCTTACACCTGTGTCCACTAAGAGAAAAAGAATCCTGAAAAAAAAACATTGAAAAGTGGACAAAATGATTTTTTTTAAAGACAAAATTGTCTATTTTCATACATGTCATTACTCTGACCTGCGAGATAATAATCAGTTTAATAAATGACTGTTGGAGTCGACTAAGTTACACGATGAAGATGAGGCCTGAATCAGAAGCTGTATTATGGATCCTCATTAACAAAAACAGCTTCTTGTCAGTTCCATTCACAGCTGCAGATGAAGCCAGCGGTTTCTTTTTCCTCAGCTCCTCTTCGTCCTCTCTTTAACTCCTCCGCCTTCGCTTTAGCTCGTCGTTGAACCCAACTTCACCCGCACACTTCCAAAACGCAGAGTAAAAAGTGGTGTCACCTTCAGTTAATCCTCTTTATCTCCCTTTAAATCTTGGAGGATCTTCTGTTGTGTTAATTCCACTTTATTGCAGAGAAAGTCCCATTTAAAGAGGACACGTGTAGTTGCAGGAGAAGAACACTAGATGGAGCTGAGACATCACAAAGCAGCTCACTGAGCCTCAGTTCATCCTGCAGGAACTCATCGGTTTCTTTTTAATGTTGTATTGATTGACAGCTGCTTAATAACAGCATGTCAAGTACAAAATAACAATAAATCAACAAGAATAAGAAAACATCCCAACAAATTATAACATATACAAACAAATGTGGTTAAAACTGAGTCTAAGTTTAACAAAAATGGACCAGACTGAATCAGATCGCAGTTTCTCCAAAGTTCATGTGACATTTTTTTTGTACACATATACTGTAAAAAGTGTGTCTGAGCTACAGATAAAGAAATGAATCTCATTTATCCTGCTGCTTTGGCGATGGACGTTTATTTATCTACACACAAGACTTGTTCCATTAAACTGCTGGTCCAGTTTCAGCAAAAGTGCAAAAATAATGTTTACTGCAGCAAATCAACCACCAAACAGCAGCAATGACAAAATCGTATTTTCCTTTTTCCATTTGGGTAAATAAATACTAAATACTTACGTTGGAAAAACTTTAAACTTCCATTTGGTTAACCTTTAAATGAAATTGCATCAATGCAAACTGTACAATTCAGACAATTCAAATGATTTATGTGCCTTTAACTAAAAAAAAGTGGCATCAGAATCACTTGTTAACTAAATTTGGATAAACTTAATTCAGTGTTGTGTTACCAATTCAAACAAAAAGCAAACAAAACAATAAAAGTCACTTATTTTTAGTGTATTCATCATTCATCAACAGAGCTGTTTGATAATTAAGAGTCCTCTGAGCGTCCAACAAGAGCCGAGTTTTACTTTATATCCCCCAAAAAGTACACATCTTGGACCAGGACTGACGAATTGTCCAAAATAACAAATGATGAGAAAACACTTAAAATTTGTCCAAAAATGAAGAAAACTTTGTTCAAAATGACTATAACTGTCCAAAATGAGTTNGTGGACGTAGTGATATTGCAGGTTTTTGACACTTCTGGGTTGGCTTCATTTTTCAGGGCCGGTTGCTACGTCCATCTTTTATACAGTCTATGGTTTAAAACTACTTTTTTAGCCTTTTTTTTTTTTTTAAAACAAAGGCTTAAAATAGCCCCTGTTGCTACCCCATGTTCCACGTTTTGTCCAGCACATGTAGAATCTATGCTAAAGGTTTTACATGCAAGAGGCTGCCAACATTGTCAGAGTTGCTTTCGTTTTAAAAATAATCAGAATGAATGTTAATGTGCCCGCTGAGACTACTGGAAGGTGTAGGAGATGACTGTTAGCCCATTTACATGGCTGTGATATGTGCTGATGACATCCGAATTGTGCAGGAAACATGTCGGACGAGGCGGGACCCAAACTAGCTGCGACTCGGACAAATGTGTGACACAATGACATCAACAAGTAACAGAAGAAAAGCCTGGACTTCAAACGAGGTGTTTCAGGCTGGTCAGGAGCAGAGTTTTGCAGGTTTGCGAACCTTTTACATGCACAAAAGGAAAGAAAAAAACACACAACATGGGCTCTTTAAAGCTCAAACAAAGAGTCGAACGGCTGTGAAAGTGGTCAGAGATGCTGCTACAGTACCTCTTTAGAAGCTCGTTGTTTTGGTTTTCCAGCTTTTGGTTCAGTCTCGCTGCTCAAAAAGCTCTAAAAAGATAAAAATTTAGAAGCTAAAGGGACAGACAGTATTTACCCTGGAGTTAGCAGCTGAGAGGAAAGCAGATATGAGACTTTGACTGGGGATGCAACTATTTAACTGATTGCTTTCTTGATTCATTGATTTGGTGTTTGGTCTGTTAAGCTTAAGAAAATATCGACAAAACCTGCATCACAAGTGTCCAGAATTCAATGTTTTGTCCTCAGAAGTGTCATTTTACCCAAAAACATTCAGGTTGTTGTGACATAAAGGTGTAACTACCAGATATAAGTAACAGCCGAGTGCAGCTTGGCACCCTGACTTCAACTTTCACCGTGTTTTTATTCAGACTTGTATTTTAGCCATTGTGTTAATGTCTTATGAGCTGCTATTTATAATCGGACAGCACGTCGGTTCAACCCCTGTTGTTTAAAATGTGCTCTATAAATAACTCTGACCTCGACAAACAGCTGCCTCCCCCAGAAGGACAATGCGGCAACGCCACACTGCGGAAAGCTGCTCAGGAATGGCTCGAGGAGCACGACCAAGAGCTCGAGGCGTCGACCTCTCCGGCCTCCGAACGCCACAGATGCTAATCCGATCGAGCGTCTGCAGAGGTCGCGGAGGTCCGGCGTCGACGGCGTGACGGGTTTGAGCTGATTTGACCTTTAAAATATTAGCTTGGTGGTTAGTTTGTTAGCAGTTGAGTTTTTGGACAACCCCTTCTGAAGTGAACCAGAGCGGCCTTAAAGATCTCCCATTAACACATGTTGGCTCATTTGTACAACAATCTTGTGGAAGTATTTTCTAAAAAAACTCCCTCTAGATCAGCCAGTAAGCTACGATAACTGCCTAAACTCCACGAGAACGATGAGATATGAATATCAGTGTTCCCATCTAACTCCCAGAAACCTGAGTCCTAACCGGCTGACGCTCGCATCAGCTGCAAACGCGTCCGAGGCGTTATTCTGGAACAAAACTCTCCAGGTAGAAATCATGGAATGTGTTTAACCTTCCTGGAAAGTTGGATGAAAGCAGCACGACTTGCACCAAGCTGAGAACAGAGGACGAGAGCACGACACCGAATGAACAGAACACCAGATGACCAGACGACTGCTTGTGACGCCAAAATAATAATAATCATAAAAAAAACAAAACAAAACAAAAAAAAAAGCCAGAAATAAAATAACTTAGTCACTGCGCCCGGAGCGAGTCGAGTCCGGCGTCCGCTGGGAGGTGAATCCAGTTCAGTGCGGTCCAGCGGCGCCAGCTCCAACTCCTCACTGATGATGATGATGATGGTGATGATGATGATGATGATGATGATAGCAACGACGACAACAACAAAAAAAAAAGATAAAAGTGTGCCAGCAGGAATACAACAACCTTCCATGGCGTCAAACAGAGTGCTGTACATTCACATCCGAACTTCCACAGATCAGCTTGGTCATCGTTTGATCCACTAACCTCACATTTCACAAAGTCTGCAGTGTCCTTTCCCCCCACCGTCCTCGTCCATTTCCTCCTGAAAGTCTGCGTAATGTCCCTCCTGAGGCTCCGGAGACTGATGCAGCCTCTCTCTGGCTCTCCAAGCCTTTGCCCCGGCTCAGAAAAAGTGTTTTAGTGTACTCCAGTGATGTGGCAGAAAACGATGACAATGACAGCTGGAGGTTTTATTTTGTTTTTTTTGTTTTTACTACGCGGGACAAAAGCTCCTCTCAGAGCGACGTGGACTGCTTGATGCTGTGAAAGCTGACCCGTGAAGGTGAAGTGGGGATGGACATGGCCTGGGTCATCCTGGCTCGGATCGAGTGCTGCTCCTGCCACCGGTGGAAGCGCTTCCTCACAGCTGAGCGCACCTGTCAGCAACAAGAGGAAGGTAAAAAAAAACAACAACTGTCAGCTGATTGATGTCTCCGCTGAGCTCCTGGTGACTTAATTCATTTACACCGACACTGTTGACTGAGATACTGGCCCGTATTGTTTTGGATACGTCTTTGTTTGACGGTAAAAATAAATAACACGACGTTTCATGCTCCCTAGAAAGGCTCCTAATGTAATAATAATAAGTAGAACCTTGTAACACGTCGCTGCCTGGATGTCTGGAAAACTGTTTATTCATTTATCACCACAGTGTGGGTTCTTTTTTTTCCTCCCTTTATCATAAATATTTTATCTTCAATTAGTCTCTTTTTATAAGTAATCATTTATATTTCATATATATTTTTTATTTGTGTGGAATTTACATCTGTAACTGAGTGTTTTTTACTCATTTAAAAAAACAACAACTTCTGGTTCTATTCAGATTGTTCTTGTCGTGATAAAACATTTAATATGCACACGGATGCTGCAGGTCAAAAGTGCCAAAAATAGAAGCACTGCTCAGTGAGGACGGAGTAAAAGGAGCTTAAGGTGAGATAATGTTCATGTTAACAAGATGTGCTAAATATAATAAAAAGAATTATTAATATAAAAACAATGTCACGAAGCAACAAGACAGCTGGTTGTAGAGATTTAAAACTCAGAGAAAAGCAGAAGAAAATGTGTTAAAGGTAATAAATACATAAATGAATGAATGAATGAATGAATGAATGAATGAAATTACTCTAGACTGCATTAAACTGTTCTAGTCGATAAGTTAATGGGTTTAGTGTTCTACATGTGATTCTATGGAAGCCCATTTGGGACAGAATTAGACAAAATGATAATTGGAATGTAAAAAGTAAAAAATACTTGTGAAAAGTTAAAATTTGGACTTTTAAAGAAAGAATTTCNTACTTAAAACGTTCCTAAATCGCAAAAAAATTAATGAAATTAGTCTAAAATTAGCTAAAAATGATCCAAAATGACTCCAAATTTTCCCAAATTCACCCAAATCTGTCTTTTTTACTTCAGGTTTCACTCTCTACCCTCCAAACAATACAGATTTCTGACCAGAGTTGATGAATTACTGCTATTTCATTTGCATTTGTTACAGTTTGAGGACACGGAGGCGTAAAATTAATGCAACAGGACGTCAGAATAATGAAACCAGTGAATGGCTTTGCGCTGAATTAACCTGTGCCTCCTGCTTATTGAACAATAAAAGTGTCGTCCTGCATATTTTATCAGGCAGCGCCGCATCGATTTCCATTTCTCAGGCCGCTCCTAATGCAGCGGGCAGACACGGGATACCTGGAGGAGGCTTTCACAAACTTGGTGATGAGCTTTGTGCACTTTGTTGACAGAGGAAGAAGCTCTTTGTTGCATGTAGTTAAAAAAAATCAGAATGAGGTTGTTCCTTTGACAAGCTGTGATTTATTTCCAACATGTGCAGCAACACTTTGATTTAAATTGGCTGAGAAGGTGGAGATCAGACGCTGAAGGAGCAGCAAACATGATTTGGCTGAAATTAAAACCAGCTTAAAGGGAACAAAGTGTCATTTCAGGTGGATGGAATCTACAAAAAATAATTTAAATCACCAAAGCAGAACTTCAGCTAGAACTCAAATGCTCTTTTATCAAAGTTTACTTCACCGCAGTTATATTTCTTCCTATTTCCTTCAGACAGCAGTTTACCATACTTAGGTGCATATTTACAGCAGCTTCCACCTCCTGCCCACGCCAGGAATAATAGTTGCTGACAAATACATAAAAAAACACTTATGTCTGCATTGAACTAGAGCACAGTGCATTATAAAGCATTTCTTTAATGCATCTGTGTATTTATTGTTCTCTTAAAGTCTTGCTGCATTTCCTTTAAATCCCTCTTTAAGCAGCTTTGCCATTAGGTCATCGTTTTTCTCACACCGCTGAGCAGCAACACTTTGTTATCTGCAGCCCGTTATTCCTTAAAAGGATGCTTTCATGTATAATTGTTGTTTTTAATTTTCTACTCTTATACTATATATTCTATATATGACATTTGAACACCTCCGACAATGAAAATCAAGGTTTATCACCGTGTTGACGTGTCCACACTGTGTTTTTTATATGATGGAAGGCAGATTATGAGGATAAAGAGCAGCTAACACCATGACTGATGTGGGGCTGTAAGTAGTTTGTCCAAAATGACTCAGAAGTTGTCCAAAAGAAAATATACAATTGTCAAAAATGACTCGTAGTTTGTTCAAAATGACTAAAAGATTTGTCCAAATTGACTTAAGACTGTCCAGAACGACTTAAAAACTTCCCAAGTTAAATAAACATGTCCAAAATAGCTCAACAAATAACCAAAAGTGACCTAAAGTCCTAAAATATCACTTAAAATCCATCCAAAATTACAAAAAAAGTTTAACATGACATAACATTTTAAAATGTCACCTAAAATTTGTGCAAAAGTATTCAGAATTTGGCCAAAAGGACTCAACAAAGGTCCAAAAAGGACAAAAATACTTAAAATGTCACTTAAAATTCATCTAAAATAACTCAACAGTTGTCTAAAAATAACAGACGATCTTTAAAATATCACTTAAAATCGTCAAAAATGGCTTTTCAAATGTCTAAAAATGACATAAAATCCTAAAATATTACTTAAAATTTGTCCAAAAATGATTCAGAATTTGTCTGAAAGGACTCAACAAATGTCAAAAAAATGACACAAAATCTTAAAATGTCACTTAAAATTGGTCTAAAAGGACTCAACAAATGTCCAAAAATGACATAAATGCTTAAAATATCACTTAAAATTCATCTAAAATAACTCAACAATGGTATAAAGATAACAGAAAATCTTTCAAATATCATTTAAATGAGTCAAAAATGACTTTTCAAATGTCTAAAAATGACATAAAATCCTAAAATAGTACTTAATATTAGTCCAAAAATGATTTGGAATTTGTCCAAAGGGACTCAACAAATGTCCAAAAATGACACAGAATCTTAAAATATCACTTAAATCTGTCTAAAATGACTCAACAAAGGTCCAAAAAGGACATAAAATCTTAAAATATCACTTAAATTTGTCCAAAATAACTCAACAAATGTCCAAAAATGACCTAAATCCCAAAATACCACCTAAAATTTGTCCAAAATGACTCAACAAATGTCCAAAAAGCACATGTAATCTTAATATATCGCTTAAATGTTGTCCAAAAGAACAAAACCCTGTTTGAAATGACTGAATAATTGTCAAAAACAAAATGCATTTGTCAATAAAAGACTTGAAAGTCATCAAACTGTCAGACAAGCATTAAATCTGACAGACGCGTTACTTATAGGCGCTGAGAAATCAAACGTAAGTCAGTGGCTTTGCATTTAGGTCATTGCTTTTCTCACACTGCTGAACAAGAACACTTGATTGTCTGCAGCCCATTAGTCCTTAAAATTATGTTTTTATGTATAATTCTGTTGAAAAGGGAGTTGTTGTTTTTTCTCTTTTTTACTCCCATTACTGATATTTTCAGGCCTGCAATCTTCTCGGCTGTGTGTGAACTACTTTGCTCTTCTCCTCTGCAGTCAGTTAAGAAACATTATGCGTCAAACCTCACGTAACTCTGAACACAGACATAAAATGTGGAATTAAAAAAGCAGCTTCAAGAGTTAGAAGATGGAAGAAACAACATGGAAAGAAATGATGCAGCCGTCTACGCTTAGCGAGGCACAAACTGTGGTTTATTAGCGGGCAAAGCTGAAGTCCTGAGAGTTCACCAGCAGCTCATTCTCTGCCATATGAGCTGACCAGAGATCCACCGGTTCCTTTAGTAACCATGTTATGAACTGACCACTCCTGCATATAAATGCTCCCGTTGTCATGACAGCGGCCTCCCGGGACAAACCGCTCGGCATCGTCGGGGCGATCCACGCCTTTTTTTTTTTTGTTTCCCGTTGAGGTTTGGGACCATCACATTTGGCTGATTTCATTCTCATCGGCTCCTTCCAGGTGTGGCGCAAAACTCGGCCTCTCCTTTGAGAGTCTCGAGCTCAGAATGAAGCCGCCAGAGTCGGAGCGACACTCGGCTGCACGTAATGAGTTTGTATCGACTGACCCGCCATCAGCTCAGAGAGGCTTAAAAAAAAGCAAAAAGGAAGGAAGCGAAGGGACGTTCTGAAGTATTGATCTTCCTTCTTTCTTGAACTCGACTGTCGTAGAAGACTCGTTGCTATCTGTGCTTTGACAGTAGCAGGATGCTGCAGGAGGCCACGCTGGGAACCACAGACACCATCCATTGACCGTCTCCGCATCCAGATCGCTGCTGGTCAAACTTCTGGAGCTTCTTGGTTCGAGGAGTTTGCTTTCTCTTCTTGGTCTCCCTCAGTCATGGTTTCTTTGCAGCAGCTTCACCAAAAAAGGCCTGATTTACAAACATCCATCCATCCATCCAACCATCCAACCATCCATCCATTATCTATACACCGCTTAATCCTCACTAGGGTCGCTGGGGGGAGTCTATCCCAGCTGACTTAGGGACACCCTGGACAGGTCACCAGTCTATCACAGGGCTACACTTAGAGACAGACAACCAAGCACACTCACATTCACACCTACNAAGGTCCTACAGCTTTAAAAATGACACTGAGGGCTTCCCAACAAGATTTCCTACAAAAATATGCTGTTTTTACACACATTTGGTGAAAATTGTGGCTGCATGGGAGAGAGACAGCGAGTAAAAATGTCACTCTCCCACCAAGGGACATGCTGAACGATGACATCATCACAGCTCAGTGCAGCTGGTCATGTGACTCAGTGACAGTCTGAGGCTGAGCAGAGAGTCAATGAAAATTGCCTATTTGTAGGTCAAAGTCTACTGAAGGGAAATAAATTGTCAAAATGGAGGTCAGACGGGCATGAGGGTCTAACGCAGACCGAGGACCCGACCAACGCTGCTTGCAGCTTTAATTAAACTTGTTGTCCTATAAATGATTTTTAAAAATTCAACTCATAATATTGATTCAGAAATACCCCATAAACAATCACATAACGTGTGTTTGTTGTTGTTGTTGTTGTTTTTTAAAACTTTTCATATTTTTCTTGGCACAAATTGGCTGCCACATGAATCAGCCTCTTTGTGAATTTACACCTCCCACCTCATATATTTCATACATTTGGTCGATAAAACGTGCGCTAACAACGCGTCGTGAATCATTTTAATGGTGATTAAAGCAGGCTGCTCCACCTTCCCTCCCTCCTCCCACCGCTACACAATCAATCACCTCACGCGTCCACCTCAGTAATCACAGGACGCTTTAAACCCCCCCCCCAAAAAATCTGATCCACCTACAAAAGTCTCATTTTATCACACCGCCATATTTCACGGCTCAGCTCATCAGCGCTAACCGGCATTGTGTTTGGCTCATGTCGGCCCGGCCTCCGAGAAACATCATTTAATCCCCTACACATGTTTTTTCTTTCCTGCTAAATGTTTTCCTATTCTGGCCGAATGTGACCGCGGGGATCCTTTGTTCATCTCTTTCATTTCTTCCCCGCTAACCCTCGGCCTGTAACTAAACACTAAATCAATATCCTCTGTAAGCTTCACATGCTGGTTAAGCCTCTCGCCGGAGCCGCAACACGGTTCCTGATGAGATGTTCATTCATCAAGCGGCCGGTGACCAGAGAGGAGCTGATGTTACATCCACGCGCCGGTCGAGGGATAACCTGTAAGGTAACGATTATTGTGTGATGTTGACGCGGAGTGGAGGCGGATCTGTGACGCATCAGATTATGATCCGGCTCAGGTTTATGGTCTATCTGGCAATAAGGGCATCGATCTTTGAAGTCACTGCTTTCATGACAACCTACGAGTTCACAGCAAGTGTTCAGGAATTTCCACTCGTTTACTACAACGGCATCGGACACAAGCATCAGTTGACTCTGATAGTTATGAAAGGAGACGTGTGGCCTGTGTTTATGGCTCAACCTCAGCTTGGCAATAATTCTCATGTGCATCAGTTTGTAAATCAGCTGAGCAGACATTTGTCCCTCAACCTGCAGAAATAGACTGAAAACGTTCACAAATGCTCAAATGCAGATGGATCTGTGATGTTTTTCTATTAAAAATTGAAAAAAATGTGATATACGTTGAACGGTTCTGTGACCAAGTTTCATTTGACTTGGCGTCCATTTATCTCCCATGTAGAACAGCTAACAATGCGTTCTGACTCTGTATAAGATATTTAACATTTGTTTTTCTGCATAACCACAATGGGCTTTTTGTCCTTTTTTTTCCATGGGTGTTTTTTGTTTTTTTTAAAAATTATTTTCATTTTATTTTATTTATTTCTCTGTCTGTTTTTTTTTTGTTTGTTTTTTCTCTTCTCTCCTTTTTTTTAAAATATTATTTTTATATTATGTCTATAGTATGTTCTGAAGACTTGTTCTCTGTAAAACAAAAAGTTCAATAAATATACATTGACCAAAAAAAAAAAAAAAAATATTCAAATGCATCATTCAATCTCAAATTCTTACATTTTTTCCAACGATTTCTGCTCAACAATCTTCCATTTGCCTGAGATTATTTTTTTTTACAGCATTAAATAAAGATTTATAAACAACTATATATATTTATTTTCTATTCTTTTATTATATTTATGCAACACATTCATGTATATGCAGCTCGTCTGTGTATATGCACGACATTTGTCCCCCGTCGGCCACCGTAATTTTCTTAAAATCTGCATGTGAAGCCCTTTGAATGACCTCTGTGTAGGATAAGGTGCTGCATACATAAACTTATGTGTTTACTTTATAAATATCCATATTTTATGCTGTAGAAGTTGAAGGGAAATCAGACGGTTGTTCTAAAACTGTGATGGTTTGGGACGGACCTATGTGTGTCCTTTTAATTTAAATTCTCTTTCATTTATTATTATTTATCGTGGCACAATAATGACAAAAAAACAACAAGTAAAAACCACCTCCACCTCACACAAATGAAACCTAATAAATCTACAGCTGCTAGTATTAATATTAATACCAGCACACATTAAACATACAGTAGCATCCCTCCGCGCATGCATATTAATACTTCGGTGCTATTTTGAGAGGGTTTCACCCCTGATTTCTCCCTGAAACCAAATCCGGCCTGACATTGTCATAAAGCGTAGAGAGTGATGTCACTTATGTCGGTACATGACAAGTCTTAATTGTGCCCTAAATATAAGAGCTGCGAGCTTCATCACTCAATTCCCCGCAACGACAAAACAGCCACCAAAAAGGGAGAGCGGAGGAGCCCCGAAGAGGCCCAACGTAGGCGAGGGTCTGAGGCAAAACGCTGAATCAATGAGGCGAATGTGCTTACCTCGCTGTTTAGGAAGCAGTAAAACACTGACACGAAGAAGCCCTGTGTGAGAGAAGAGGGGAGGAAAAAAAAAAACACATCAATGGACTGACCCTGATTTAATCGCACGCACAGCAGCTTATCGCACTCATTCATTCAATCATCTCCACAGAGCAGCGCCGTCCATTCATTACAATTATATGTAAAAAAAACACCATCCGCCCACGCTGAGATAACACAACGCTGCCTTTCTCACCTGGAAGGACTCCAGGAAGGAGTTGAAGTATATGAAGACGATTTGAGAGATCTCGTCCTCGCCTGGGTTGACGAAAAACAGCATGTAGGTGATTCCCAGCAGAGGAAGCAGCACCAGCGTTGCCTTCACCGCTTTCCTGCAGATCAGAGGGAAAGCTGGAGCGTGTGAGGGCTCGGCAGGCTGCAGCCCCGGAGGTCGAAGGCCAGTTTGGGTTCCCTCGACCGGTCAAGCATAAAACGTGAATAATTTAACCCTCCGAGCCTCAAAACCCACAGGCGGAGTTGAAACAGGGGTTATGTTTGTTAAAAATCAGCAAAATGACACCATTCATCTGAGCCAGAAACAGTCAAAACACCGTCCTGCCAGAAAAATGATCCAAATCATGACATTTCAACAAAAAAATCACTTTTTTCTTCACGTCTCGTTTGAAAATTTGCATAAATGTACCATTTGCTCTCACCAGAGTCAGTGAAAAACACAAAATCCAAACGCTCCTTAGTGTAAATGTGAAGTTCTCGGTGACACAGTCGTGACCAACGTATTGAAAATTCTATTTTTTCACTCAAGACGTATTGACTGAACTGCAGGCTGTGTTAAATGGGGGAGAAAAGAGACAAGCATGGAAACAAACCAGAGAGACTGAGAGCAAAACAGAACAAATTTGATCAATAAAATAAATGCAGCATGGCTCAAAACCAGCATACAGAGGAGCACGTTGTTGGACGACACCTTCAGCCTGGGGAAGCGTCGTTCTAGGATTGATGTGAAGAGGCTGTAAAATGTTTGTTCCTGGTATGAATAACACTCGTGGGCACTTGGTAAAACATTGTACATGTTAATTTCAAGTTTTTATTTTATACCTCATGACATTCTAACTTTTTTTTATACTGCACAATAGACAGAAAGTAATGCTGGATGTTCAGCTGTGTGGCAGTGCTGGAACTCTGTCATGTGCAGGTTCTTTACCAAAATAACCAAATATGTATACGAGGTGTGTCAGAACAGTTTCAGGACTGGTGTCACAACAGACATATTTCAAACTCAAACTACAAACTACGAGTTGTCCCCTTTGAAGTAATCCTCTTGGAGTCACTTCCCAGCCTTCTCTGCCTTCACGCCGCCATGCACTCCTGGAAGGATTCTTCCAGGATCCTCCACGGCTCCGTCGTCACAGCCATCTTGATGTCGTCCACGTCTTCAAAACAGGTCTCCTAGATGAACCCCTTGAGCTTGAGGAAGAGGAAACAATCCCACGGAGCCAGGTGGGGTGAGCAGGGAGGTTGCTCCACCACGGTGATGTTCTTCTCAGTCAGGAACTGTGGGATGCTCAGGACATTGTGAGTGTTGTCATGGTGAAGCAGCTACGACTTCTCCTTGCCACAACTCTCGCCTCTTCTCACGCACTGAACGAAGCAAACGCTGCAGGATCTCTTTGTAGACGTGCTGGTTGATGGTCTGAAGGGGAAAACTCGCAGTTTGTAGTTTGGATTTGAAATATATCCACTGTGACACCAGTCCTTTTCTGACACACCTTGTGTATACATATATATATATATATTGGCACCTGATCCTTTAAAAAAATAAAATAAAATATTCTATGCTCCTGAGTGCAACTGAGAAGACATGACTGACTCAGCTGTGACCAGCAGTCACATGACAAACGTTCTGTGATTATTCGGCTGAACTGCAGCCTGTGTTTACACAGAGCAGATAGAAGCTACAGTTGCCTCAAATGTATTCATACCCTCAAATTAGAGAAGGAAAAAAACAGCTGTCACTGAAATAAGTTGAAATTGACAAAAGTAATAATAAATTAAAATTTTATGAAAATCATGACATTGCTTTTGAATTGTGGTTCAACAGAAATATTAAAACAGAACCAACCCCCCCCCCCCAAAAAAAACAAGCAAACAGCATGATGGGACCCATGAACTAATATTTAGTTGAACAACCCTTTGAGCCGATCACTGCAATCAAGTGTTTTCTGTAACTCTCAATCAGACTTTATTTTTAATATTTCTTTTCATCCACAATTCAAAAGCAACATCTTATTTCACTAAATTATAATTTTAGAAAATTTTTATTTATTATTACTTTTGTCAGTTTCTAGTTATTTGAGTGACTATTGTGAATTTTGCCTTTTCTTTAATGGAAGGATATGAATACATTTGAGAACGACTGTAGGTACAGAAACAAATTAAGGAGACTGAGAACAAAATAAAACGAGCGATAAAATAAATGCAGCATGGCTCACAAATGGTTTACAGAGGGGGAAGTTTTCAGTAGATTTTTTGGAAGATACATTCAGCACGATGAAACATCTCTCTAAAGTTAACGTGGAGAGATGTGATTGATTGTAAAAATGTAAGTAGTACAATATCTATACTATGTGGAGGCCTCTTCTGTTTATTCAGAGTTGGTAGTACATGGGTCCACTAAAATAAAGGGTATACATGTTGAAATTTAACTTTCAAGTTTTCTTTTTATATGATTTATGGTGTGTAACTGAGTTATACTGCACAAAAAAAAAAAAAAAAGTCTTTGCGTTCACTCTCCTCCTAGTCATGGTTGTTTCCATTGAGCTGCCGGATTTTATATTGTAGTGAAAATGAGCCCAAAGTGAGCAAAAAATGTGACAAAAACCTTTCGGACAAACTACTTAAAGTTGAGACGGTTGACTCTCCAGAGCTTGTTTCCTGCAGGTTACAGCCACTCACCTGTACTGGATGGTCTCTGACGTCGTGGAGGCTCGCAGTTTGGTCATCAGGATTCTCACAATGTTGAAGAGGAAAATGAAGTTGATCTGTGGGGAAATCAAACACAGTAACACAAGAGTCTTAATGAAGGTTGTACAGCGTCTGTCGGAGCGTGCTGGTGTGCGTCTCATACTGATTAACTTCTTTACATTCGCGCTTCCTTTAAGCAGCGATTCTAAAATCACGTCAGTCCTCCCTGTGTGGCAGCATCAGCTTATTCCAGGTCTTCAATAAATATGAGAACGGCTCCAACACAAACCCCTTTTCCTTTCAGAATTGATTTCGATTTTTTTTGCATTTAACTTTCTCTGTGTTGGAGTTAAACCCAACATCCAAATGTAGACATTCTGAATATTGAATATTGTGTGAATAATTTTTTAATAAATGTCACCATCATCCAGCCGAGCATATCTGGCATCTTCAGAAACTTTTGGATCTGCACACATTTCTTTGTTTTTTAGTGTTATTTTGCGAGTTTGACTCATAGACTGTATAAAAGATGGACGTAGCAACTGGCCCTGAAAAATGAAGCCAACCCGGAAGTGTCAAAAACCTACGTCCACGAGCTGCTGGCTCCAAAAAGCCCTGGCTCCCATAGACTTGAATTGGAAAAGAAGTGATCACAGATCATGAAATACCGCATTCCTACAACTCAGGATTTTTTTCTTATTAGTTTTCATGGTCAAGTCCAGAGATCAGGTGGCCAATCTGAAAATAAATCAATACTGAATTTTTAAAAAATCGTCAACATTTTGCGGGGCAAGGGGCGTGGCTGATTGACAGTCGGCAGCGACGATGCAGACGAAGCGAGCAGAAGGCGGTAAATGTGGGCGGGCAGAGAGGGCCCGCCTCTCAATCTGTCTGACCAATCGCTGCTCCTATGGCTCCGCCCCCCTCCGACGATTTTTGCGTCACTGACTCCAAAAATCCAAGATGTCAACCAGGAAGTAGCAAAACCCTGGCTTCATTTACTCAGTGCAGAAACCAACGGGTGACGTCACGGTAGCTACGTCCATCTTTTATACAGTCTACGGTTTGACTACAGTTTGGATGCACAGTGTGACTTCTATTGTTTATGAGGTTAAATCACTGAATCATCTGCGTATACAGAAGAAACAATGTCTAATATTTGAGGGAATTACTACTGTGATGTAACACACCTTCACCGGTGTAACATATGCACATTTAACATACAGTTAGTTTGATTTTAATCATTTATGTTGTTTTGATTATCAGTGGACACTCACTCAGCCAAAACATTAAAACTACTGAGAGTTCAAGTGAAAACACTGATTGTCTTATGATAATGGCACTGAAGAAGGAATGAAAAATGGACAACGTGAGGATCTGAGTGACTTCAACAAAGACGTGATATCTGAGGGAGAACGTTCAAACAACCTGATGCCATGTGGATGCTCCAGTCACTCGGTGATCACGCACAGCACTTCTGGCCACAACAACATAATCGCTGCTCCTCACCTGCCCTACTTGCCAGATTTGGCTCCCTGCAACTTATTTCTCTTCCCAGAAAAGTAACTCAAATTGAAGAGCCATTGTTTTGACACAGTTCAGGAGATTCAGCGTTTACCAGAAGTGGTGCTTGACATGTGTACATAATGGGAGCGCTGCAGGAGCACTGGGAGCTGAGCGAAGAGGCCACTTCCACTGGGACGGCGGCCAAATTTAAATCGGGTGAAATCTCTGAACCTTTGAACTCCAGCTCGTATGGGAAACATCATTTCTAGTCGTCAGGGTTTGCGTCTCATTATTGTGGCACTGTCGGTGTACACTGATACGATCCTAGTTTGTAAGTTCAGTTTCCATCCTCTCACTTATACCTTGGTGGTTCATTATTAATGTAAAGCAGTTTATTCATCCATTCATAGTTTTATAGTTTAGCTTGAACAATTATTTAACCAACAGGAAATTGGCTCGTAATTTGAGGAAACATATGGGCACTACTGTTTGAACCAAATGTTACTCAAATCGACATAATTTTTGCATTTGTTGGGGACTATTTTAGGCAGCGGAGTGATACATATTTGGTCCTCTGCACACCCAGTCGCTGAAGACATTCACTGAGGTACTGTACTTTTTGAAAAGTACATTTTTGAGATGCTTGTGCTTAATTATTTTCATCTCAAACTCCTTTGTGCATCACTTTTAGGCAGAGATATTGTGCTTTTCACTAGACTTATCCGACAGCTATACCTACTGCAGCCGTAGGTTAAACACACTATAGCCCTGTTTAAACTGGCTCAGAGGAATCACCAGCCGTAGTCAGTCGTAAACAATCATTTGATTAACACCGCTTCTGACATCAGCAACTGATTCAAGCTGCTGTATGTATATTTTGGACTCAGCAGATTCTTTTTCCCTTTTCCACTCGACTTATAATAAATCAATGAAAGAACCAGCTCGAAGATTGTTTATTGATGACAAATGTGTTCCAGTGATTCCACAATAGAGGATGTAGTTTTTCTTTATGGGAACTTGTGTTTTGGCCTGTCACAAAATATTCAATAACTGAGAGAAACACTTTATAAAATCTGCATGAACAACACAACAGACCTAAAAGCTGGCCCGTCTGTGTTCCAGGCTGGTGTCGATTAGCAATCAGCTCCACTATTGATGACTGAACACTATCAATGACTCCTTAATTAAGCTGTCCTTTGTAAACTCTGCTCCTCCTCTGTAGGACAGCGGTGCTATTTGCTTAATTAACTCTCAAAGCAGTTTCTTGGTGCTGTTTTGCTTCTGTCACATTTTTGCTCACTTTAAGTTATTTTTTATGGCAAAAAAAAAGCTTCTGAGCAGCACGACAGAGGTATAAATGATAAAAAATAAAAAATAAAGAGGGATTATTTAATTTACAAAAGTTGAAATTTACTGGAATCAACATGTGCAAGATGTTTCCAGGTGCCACAAAGTGTTAGTAATCGTGGGAAAGAAGGTGCATAATA